CCATGGGGATTTGGCAGCAGTCGCAGGGTCTAAACGGGGGTCTCTGTTCTTAGAAGAGAGAAGAGATTGCCTGGAGACCCAAAGCAGATACAAAACCTTCAGAGTGTTTTCGCATGGAAGCAGACTGAGGCTTTGCGAGCGTCCCGTAAGAGGTATAGCCTAGGCTGTAATATCTCAGTCTTTGAATTCTTACCTGTGGTAAAATGAGAGACTAGAACAACAAAACACACACATAGTAAGATAACAAACAGTACCGCAGGTGGCTCCAAGCATTGTCTGGCATACACGCATACACAAGCCAGCCACAAAATGGAAATCGTACCACGTGCCTCTTATCGTAATTTGCACTGAACCCAAAAATAATAATTCCTAACAGCAGACAGGCTGTTAGCTCAGGCTTAGTGCCATACTACTGTAGCTACATAGCTTCTGGCTGCTTTGGAGTGTGGGAAAAGGAAGCTCATGGTCACTTGCAGCGTGGTCAAAGTAACTCCTGTCTGTTGGGAAATGACCATGAGCACCCTGCGCTTGCAGGAGTAAGATCAGATTGCCAGCATTTAAGTCATTGACTTTGCATGTTTTCTCGTGCTGGATGATGTGATAGCACTGGGCCCGTGTGTGTGAATAGCTTTTTGGGATGAAGTCAAAGCACGAGCTCCTCTGAGGCAATTTAAAAAGGAGTGAAACGCTCAAGAGGATAATACAGAGCAACTGATGTAATGGTTCTTTTGCATAAACTGCAATTTTTATAATTTGTTTTGGGAGTGAGGGGAGTGTACTTTGTGGTTTGGTTTTGGTTTGCATAAATTCAGAAAATGTTCTGAATTATTATTTTTTTTTCTGAAAATGTAACTTAACTGTTGAGAGGCAGTTGAAGCTTTGGTGATGAAGGGAAAGTATTGTAATAGGAAAATTTGGGATTATTGTGATGTCCGTGTTCCAGACCTATTAGGCCTGAAAGTAGATGAACTGGGGAGATTACTTTGTATGATTCCCACATATGTAAATAGACATATAATTATCTATCAGTATAAAATATTAGTGCATATTTACTGTGTAATAATTAATTCAACTTTATAAGCGTATGAAGATTACCTCAAATTTACATACAATGTGAAGAAAAGTCCCTTTATCCTCTGTAACTGCAGCATTTGGCAGATTCAGGAATAAATAATCTTTTGTGGCAAGGGTATGCCTTATCAAACATATGCAGATCAGTGCTAATTAATGCTAATTAAGGTTTCCTGTCTATCTAGTTGGAAAAACGTCCAAATGTTATGAAATCCAGTTAGTATGCCTATTACCCTAATTGTTTTATATGGGATGGTTCTTAATTAAAATATGTAAATTGACCTTAATTGCTATATACTAATGGAGGTTCATGTTATCTCACTAAAAATGACAAGATGGTGAGGAGGGGTACTTAAACAAATAATTCTGATACATTTGTAAATAAATGACCTTTACTCAAAATTATTTTTAATTGGAAATTGGCAAAAGGAACATTTTGCCATCTATGTTTCTCTTTAGTCTTAAATAATGTCAGAATTTACAGTTCTTTGTTAATATAGCTATGGTGACATTGCAGCTTAATTAAGACTACTAAACAAGTCAACATTTTGTGTGTTTACTGCATGTTTCAAAATTGTTTGCTAACCTCATGCTGACCTTCAGAAATGTCATGCTTTACAATACTGATCTTAATTTTCACTGGTTTTGGTCTCTCTTAGTCACATCGTTTGTGAGGTTTGGTACATGGTTATACTTTTGCTGGTGACTGGACCCGTGACCCCGACTTTTCATCGGAGGGGTTGGTGGGCAGCACCTCTTCGCAACTCACCTGCGCGTGTAGGACATGGACTTTGGTCCTCTTTGGGGAGGAGAGTTCACATGTGTGCTGTTGCGTGACGGAGGCCCACACGGGTTTTTACACAAAGTCTTGTGCCTATGTCCTCTGCCTGGCACAAAAGCATTATTTAAATGATGTTTTGTAAGGCAGTTTATATGTGCCCCGCATTGGCATTTTCTTGATAGTTATCATACCATTTCACACACACAGCAAACATTTTTCTCCTCTGATGTAGAGAATCTAATTAGAGAATGTGCTAATTTAGCAAACTGGCCTATAATTATAGTTTTTACACGTAATGACAGTATATTTTTAAAACGCTCAATACATTTAAGTTTACATTATGTCATAGACATAATTGATATATGTGTGCTTCACTTTGCAAAGCCAATCTGTAAATTTTCACTGTTCTGCAGGATATTGTGACCAATGTTTCTCCAAGGATTGTGCGTGGAATTACTTCAGGTCCTATGTATGGCCCAGGCCAAGGCTCTTTTCTAAACATTGAACTGATCAGCGAGAAAACAGCAGCATATTGGTGTAAAAGTATTGCTGAACTGAAGGCTGACTTTCCAAACCAGGTGAGTACCACTCAGTCATAAAGCTGCAACCAGATTATTTAGAACCTCCAGTTTCTGGATCTGTGAAAACTCGCCTATTTAATATTTATTGAATAGAATGCCAGTTGCTTTATTGACATTCAGTTATGTTATTAAAAGCTAGAAAAGCCCATCCAAATAATCTTTATGACAAAAAAAATCTGTGAAATGACTGTTACACAAACAGAGAATGGTCGTGATTTTTTTTTTTTTTTTAGTTAGGCTGATGTTTACATTCCTATAGTTAATATCAAGGGAAAGTGGTGATCCCAGTGTGAAGGCTGCTCAGTTCTGTTGTGAATAATTTTGTATTTAAGATCATATTTAAACATGTAACTCATGATAATAATTTTCATTGTGAATTGAATTTGATTATAGATGGAATCTGTCTTCATTCTTATCCAAATGTAGAAGATATTTCTAATTTTTTTATAAACAATTGGCTGCTTTAGTAGAAAAAAAACAATACTGACTTGAAGTTAACTTCACTACGAGGACGGAGTTTTGTTAGAGCCTTCTTGGCTATGGAGAATACCTGTCTAGAAGGTAATAAAGTTTGAAGCAAGGATGCCAGCTAGCTGGTCTAAATGGATTTCAGCTACTGTTCTAGTGAATAAGAACAATGAAGTGGAAAGTAAAATTCACCTCAGTCATTATCTCAACTGGAGAGAGCTAGAAATCCCAGACCCTACATATCTTCTGTGTTGAAGTTATTACCTCCATGGTTCAGCTATGAACAAAATAAGTGGATGTTCTGAATATGTTATGGCACAAAGACAATCGGTTGGTTTTTTTACTTATTCCTGGAGTTTAAATGTACACATTGGCAAGTATAATAGCCTCTAAACACATTGTGGTGATAATGAAAGTTAAGTGCTGCATGTTCAATGTTCTGCTTCACTGTGGATGGACTGTGTATTTCTTTGCTGAGGTTCGTATCACTTTATTTACTGTGACTGGCCTTCATAATAGTGAAAGTATGAACCGAAAGATAATATTGTAATTCTCTGATTTTGATTTTAACATCCTTTGTGGAAGTCCTGGGTATGGCATGCAGGCAGACTGTTGGTCATTTCTACTGTGGGACTGGTCCCCCATTGCAGTCTTCACCAAAAATCTATCACAGCATTTTGTGCTTTAGACCAAACCGTTCTCTTCTGTGAGGAAAAGCACGAGCAACAATTTCAAAGGGAAAATTTGAATTTTCTGAGACCTAGCCTCTTGTGTGGGATGAAGAAGTCCCACTCTTCCACAGTTCCCAGGGTGAGCATCTTCTGATCATCCCTCACTATGTGAGTTACTACTTTGAGGAGGCGAATTCAGCTCCTGCACGTTGGCTGTGGCTGCTGCTGTGTCATCTTTGAGGTCAGTAACGCCTGTGAGGGCACAGTGAAGCAGCACCCAGCAGTAGACCTTGGCTTCGCTCGTAGGGATTTTTAAAGTGGGCCCCTGAACTCACCCAAGAACTGTCATAATTATAATGGTAAATTTGTTGCTAACTGAAAACAGGTTTTTGTTCACTGGTTAGAAATCTCCTAGTGCTTATTTTGTAATATTCTGTATAATTAGAACTTGAAGAATATTTTTTTTCCCTCCAATTCCTATTCACTCCTCTAGAAATGGTTTCTAAACTTGATGGTTTTTTGGGGGGTTATTAGAACCAAAAACAGTTTCTGAGAACTATTTTGGTGAACTTAATTAACAAGCAAAGAATGACATTTTCTGCTAAAACGAAAGCCAAACAGGGGTGAGAACACAAGTGATTACAGTTAAAAAACACTCCTTGCTACAGTAACTATTAAAAACAAATAAAAATGTATACATAATTACTTCTGCTGTGTAATACAAATAATTTAAGGCAAGATTTATCTTACAGATTAAAAGTATATGAGCAAAATAGCTACCTCACTAGAAGATGATCCCACGACAGCATCCTATCTCGGGCCATGAGGAAGCAGCGAACCATAATGCAATAAAAGCAGCTAAATTCCTCCAGCAAAGCCAAGGATTTGAACTAAATTTTGCAAGGGCTTGTGCAAAAGAGGACCACCAGAGGCAGAGCTCAGTGGATAAAGTCACATAACTGTGACATGTTGCCTCTGAAGATCAGGAACTAGCATTTCCCTTGCGCTGCCTTTACCCCTGTAGTGGGTGGCCTCATTTTTTGGCTCTTCTGACTCCTGAGCTTGCAATTATCTCTGACTGGCAGTCTTTCGCAGTCTTCTATTAGTTTCTTCTTTCAACCTGAATCCACTTCAAGTGGACTAGGGCAAAAGCTGCCACCAGCAGAAACTTGCTTCAATGCCACCGGTACTGAAATAAATATTTGTAAGGGTCCAAGCAGAGGAGAAAGCAGAAGGAGAAAATATCTGGATTTTGTATGTTTGCTTGTGAAGTATCATCAAAAGCTTTGCTGTTTCTTTTTTTTTTTTTTTTTAATTGAGTTAATTTAGTATCACTATTACTGCTTTTTCAGAAAACACACATGAACAAAAAGAAATTAGATGGTATGCACAATATGGGCCCAAGATGGTGTTTTTTTTAACTCAGATGCTTCTTTCTTAAAATTATTTGCAGTTAAAAATGGGATCGTTTTCCTTCTGATACTTCATTCATCTCGGCACGGTATTACTTCAAATTGGCCGAGACCATTTAACACATACTGTATTATTCAGCATTGTTTATTGTTAAATTTTCAAAGAATGCAGTTTTAAAAACGTTGTGTCCACTGCTTTGCTGTATACCAAGAAAATAGCCTTTCAGTCAGAGAGCTGTGAAAGTGAGAAGAAAATTGGTCTGTTTGTATTTGCCGTCATCTTTTTACTTTCTCAGATACTGTAGTTTTACTTATTTATATTGGGCTGTGTTTGTGATATCCAAACATCCTCCTTACATGGTTAACTAAGGGTTTTTTTACAGGAGTTTATTAAGTATTTATATTTTTCTGTCTTATGGCCACACATAGCATGATACCACAAGATTTATCATTCTGTGCAATTATTAATCAGGAGAAAATGGATTTTTATATTTTTGTTCTTTAGTAGTAGAGGCTGAGAACTTGACTGTGAGAAAAAATGGAACAATTATTTTATTAATTTCATAGTCTTAAATGTAATATTGAAATTCTGAATTATTATGCAGCTGACACCTTATTGGGAAATTTTGCATCCCCACTCCCCCCAAAAAAGGTTGTTTGTAAAATGCCATATTAATCTAAGACTCAAGAAAAAAGTGAAAGAAAAATAGCAATAATCAAGATTTTCAGATTGAAATTCAATTACTGCTTGCTTGAGAGGAATGACTACTGAAACCATAATCATGGTGTGGTAGTGTAGTCTCCTTACGCCCTGCTATAGAGGGACATTTTGGGCCAAGGACAATAAAAGCTGTTCCGGTGTAATACGAATATTATCTCAACATCTTAATGAGAAATAGGAAAACTCTCCCTTTCTAAGGCCTGCTCAGACCAGTTTGCAATGGCAGAGGGGAGATTTGGAGTTGGGGAGTGAACGAGTGGCTGGGTAGGGGCTTAGCTGCTGACTGGGGTCAACCCACCCCAGATGGAAATTCCATAGAATGTCAATTCGTGTTAAGAAGGCTAGACCATCGTTTGGACCTGCAATACTTAAAGTGCTTTAGATCGTGCAGCAAAAGAACTAACACTAATGCCACAACATGTCTGACACTCATATTATTTACCGAGGAGGGATCTGATATATGGTGTATTGGTGTACTTTCCAGCCAAAATGTGGCTGAAAAAATGGCATTTTATGGTATAGTCAACAAACTAGTTTACTTCAGAAATATGGATTTGGCCAAGTAGAACTCACCCAATAATATGATCAGGAACAAAAACTGTGCAGAAAAAGAAAATTCACTTTTACATTAGCAAAAACCTACAATCTTCAATCAATAGAAAGTGACTGAGAAAGTTGAAAAGAAAATTATGAAACCTGGCAAGAGAACTTACTGCTGAAATTTTATATTCGGGTATTTGACATTAGCTACAATATGGCCATTATCTGTGCTGGGAACTGTGAATATGGGTAGTGGCCGGACGTCTTCATGTGCCAATGAAACAAGGAGCTGTGTGCACAATGAAGCTGGCAGTCATGAGAATCATTTTTGGTGATTGCGAGGGAACGGATATATTGGTGGTGTGTGTGGATATATATATATATTCATCAGAAAAAGCATACAGACTGTTGCTGTTCCCCATCAAAACCTTTTGCTTACCGTAGCTTATCCTTCTCGTTTGAGTTGGTAAGTCACCTACGTATACAGATGTCTGTTCTTCCAGTCTCATAAGCACGTCTATATATTTACACTACATAGTCGCTGGCTAAATATTTTAAGATTTCATATTACCCTGAAACCTCTTCAGCATCTGCACTGGGGAGAGCAAGCTTGAGAATAGCAAGGTTTGAAGGTGGTAAAACGCTTCTCTACAGAAAAATGTGAACTTGAGGGTTCAGTAAGAAGGTGATGGACACAATTGCCCAGTAGTATTTCTCCACCTTTCCAAAACTGTAATTGGTGCCATGTAGATTATGAGAGTAAGCAAATTCATGAAAAACTACAATATGCAAATTAGTTTGGGTCTGAGCATGTGCAGGAGGTCGCAGCAGTACAGATTAAGGGCTTTGAAAGGACACTTAATGGAACAAAATAGATTGCAGGGGAAATGTCATTCCCTACAGGGCTAACAGAAATCCATCACAAACAACCAAATGTCTGAGAAATTTGTACTGAGAGGAAGAACTGGGATCCTGGAAGAAGATGCCAGATTGAATATTTTTTGATGTTGCTATATTAGTATACTGGAGTCTTAAAAGTAACTTTTTTGCCTCCTAACTGAACACAAATGAGTTTGGGCTGCTGTATGACTCTAAGGAGCGTACATAGGATACCAGATTGTCAGCTGTGACACTGATTCTGTGATTCAGATATTGTGTTGTGTTGCGTTGAATTGAGAAACCTCT